TCATTGGTCTCATCCGAGACAATGACGAGTCAGCCTACAGACGGAAGGATGAGCAGCTGGTCCTGTGGTGTAGCCACAACAACCTGGAGCTGAACACGCTCAAAACAGTGGAGATGACAGTGGATTTCAGGAAGAGCCCCCCCACATCATACATGGCAGCACTGTATCAGCAGTAAAGTCCTACAAGTTCCTGGGCTCCACTGTCTCCCAGGACCTGAAGTGGACATCCAACATCAGGACCATCACCAAGAAGGCACAGCAGAGGATGTACTTCCTGTGCCAGCTCAGGAAGTTCGACCTGCCCCAGGAGCTGCTGATACAGTTCTACAGAGGAATCATGGAGTCTGTTCTCTGCACCTCCATCACTGTCTGGTTTGGCTCAGCAACCAAACAGGACAAGTACAGACTTCAGCAGACAGTGAGGACTGTAGAAAAGGTCATTGGTGTGAGCCTGCCCTCCATGGAGGACCTGCACACCTCACAGGTCAAAAGGAGGGCAAAGAGGATCACTGCAGACCCCTCACACCCTGGACACAATCTGTTTGAACTCCTCCCCTCTGGTTGGCATTACAGGTCACTGTGCACTAAGACAACCAGGCACAGGGACAGTTTCTTCCCCCAGGCTGTCGCTCTGATTAACATTTAACCCATGACAGTATGATTGGACAATAACCCTCAATACCTGTGTGTGTGTGTGTGTGTGTGTGTGTGTGTGTATACATTGTACAGATTATACAGACTCGTACAGGTCTCTAGTTCTAAAGTATTCTGTTTTTATTCCTATTTATCTCATTTCAACAAACATTCCTTTGTTGTCTGCATTGTTTACTGTCTGTTTATACTCCTTATCCTGCATTGTTTGCACTGTTTGTTGCTGTCAATGCTGCTGTTTATACTGCTTATTTTGTTATATTACACAGCCTTATGCTGGTTTATTGTTTGCACATTGAGAGCCGATGTACAAGAGTCAAATTCCTCGTGTGTCCGTCACACCTGGCCAATAAAACTGATTCTGATTCAAATTATCAACTCAAAAGTGATTTCACTATTTATTTTCATGCTTTCGTGTGGTTGTATGGCTTAGCTTTCAGTCAGCCATGTGCAATATTTGCATGGCTCTTGCCAGAGCATATGAGCAGAGTGGAGCAGTGATAACTTCTACTCCTTGCTCACAGATCTGGTCACTCAAAGCTGCACCACTCATTAATGCTCAGCACTCAAATCAGATTGCATCCCACTCCACTCAAATCACACCTACTCATTCCAAAAAAGGGGAAATAATATTCATGGATTTCACTTTTAGCTTCAATGGTAGCCTTACATCCCAAAGAACAACTACTCTAAATAGAAATGATTTATTTCAAATTACAGTTAGATCTATGTAACAAGGAATATAACAAGTCATATGTAAAATTCAATGGCTCAATAGGCCTAATTCAATTAAAAAATATACTGTACAGTACACCTATATGACCTTTCATTTTCCTTCTTAAAGTACTTTAGGAACTCCATTATTGAGCTCACAATGGCCGATTTTTGACTGAAAAATGTTGAATGACTGTGCAAGACACAGATGCATTCTGGGTCAGGCTTAGGAATGCTTCAGGCTCAGTGTGTCAGCGCTACTGGAGAGAAATTGGAGTGGGACAAAGGGTGACACTGCCTCCTCTTTAAAGAAGCTGCTCTGAGCTCTGTCCAAAATCCCCCCCACTTCCGCTCCTGACTCACTTGCGCTCCACTATGCTCATATGCTCTGGCTCTTGCCTTATTGTATGTGTTACAGCCCCATGTGAGGGAGATGCTTTCTTTTGCCATAGCAACATGTGCATCAACCACACCCTGGTTTGCAACGGAATCCAGAACTGTGTTTACCCCTGGGATGAAAATCACTGCAAAGGTACAGTACCCTGTCACACACCACTAAACACATTACCACCTAGTGTATTTGCAACACACTGCTGCGGCTTATATAACCTTAGCCTTAAATCATTTTGTATCTCTAACTAGAGAGGAGGAAAGCCAGCATTCTGGGCACACTTGATAACACCAACCTCACCATCATTGGAATAACCTGTAGCTTGGTTGTCATCCTGCTCATCATTTCTGTCATCATCCAGATCAAACAGCCTCGAAAGAAATACATCATCCGCAGGTGAGGTCTTTAAAAGTCACTTTGAAATCTAAGTATCCCTTGTGAATAAAATACAAAAAGAAGCTACAATACCCAACATGTTGAATTCATAAGATGGTCATAACTCTACAATCCATCAGAATTTGGGTTGGGTTATGATAAGTTCCAAAGTGTGGGAAAACATTTAATGCAAAATTCAATATTTGCTGTAAGAGACTCAAGATGATGGGCTTATGTAATGGAAATGACTACACTTATGACATAAATATTAATACCTAATATTCCAATACCTCATTAGATTAGGGCCCCAGGTGGTTATAGTTCCTTCAACCTATTGAACAATTGATTAATTGGAGCAATTAATTCAGTCTTGTTCTGAAAGCAGTGGCTCTACCAGTTCAGTGGCCCATTTACTGGAAATAGGAGCAACACATAGGATGGCATAATGAAGCCAGTTATAAGCAAAATAAACTTATTTACAAGATGTACACAGGGGAAATGACCAGGTTGAGAGAGTTGATTCAAATGGTACATTTTTGAATATTTTTGATTGATGAATGAGTGGAAGATGATCACTCTGGTCACAAATTGAGCTAGATTCTAGATCAAAATTCTGGGATTTAATCACTAATATAGAGGGGGAAAAATAACTGTCAAATGCTATAGGTTAGAGACTTAATTTAGTAACTAATAGCTATGGTTTTCATGAGACATCAGCTGTTAGCCATGATGTCACTTAGCCTTAGCAGGAGTTAGCCATTAGCTCTGGAGATTCCACATGGTCAGGAGAAGAGAAGTGCTGGTTTGGAGCCTCTCTGGGTCACAGTCGAGCTGGGTCCAGATTTCCAAGATGGCCCTGAGCTTGAGACTGGTGACAATCTTTTGTTGCCCGATTTCTGGGCTCGCTCACAGGGGAGCTGCTTCTCAGGTGGCCAGTTCTTCTTTCAGGATGCTGGCTTCACCAGGGTCCTTCCATTGTTTGGCTGTTTAGACATTTCTCAAAGGAAAACTGTAATTAATTTGAACTGATCATTGTGAGATCATGATGGTATCTCTGGAGTCTAACAAAAGTTTCGGCTTAAATAAAACTCGTTTTCAGCTTTGCTACAAAAATTTTCATTTGCTCTAAAGTTCAGCTGAAGTTATTCAAAAGTGGCATGCATTGCTTTGTGTTGACTTTCTGCTGATTTACAAAAATAGGTTCAAAAATCACTATACGTTGCTAAATAAAAACACTTCTTGAGCATGTGATCTAAATAAAAATGAATTTAACACAAAAACACAGACGACAGGTGCACATTCAGGAGGCGCAGACTCTTTTTGTTTTGTTTTTGAATGACTCTCAGACAGGCAGACTCATAAATCATTTAATGAACTATACATGTACTCTGATTTGATTGGTTGAGGGGAGTGTGAGGTGCTGACCTCTGACTGAAGAGAGTTGGACTGGGATATTAATCTTTGTTTAAAGTTAATTCTGTATAGTTCATAACTTTCTCCACCATGGCTGTATGTTTGAAATATACATTTCATATAACTGTAATGTGGAATAACACATACACAATTTTAAGCAACACAGTTTGACATGAAACTCATACATGGATTATTTTGTGGGAAGAAAGGAACAGCTGACTTTGAGAATAAAAGAAGCACTCAACTTTCAGCATGAATGCATTATGATAAGGAAATTTAATAGTAATTTCCTAAGGAATCTTTTGAGTAGTAATGAAGAAGTTATCAAAATTAAGATTATTTAGTGATATTTGATTTATCTAGCATCTTAAACAGGCATATATTAGTTTTCATGGAACACTCATGTATCACTTACTATATTACTATACATTTTGGTTGTAATGTAACTTCAGGTTTGGGATAAGTTCTACTGTTATAAGAACTTTAAGGAAGAGGTCTTTGCAGTGACTAGTTATATAGTGATGTCCAGACATCATCAGCTTGACTCAACATTTTCAAATTTCTTATAGATATTTCACACACCTTTTGGTTTGCAAAATTTCACAAAATTTCCAAATCTAAAGACATTTTTGTCCTAAAGAGAGAGTGAGTTTTAAGCCAAGTTTTATATCCAGTGTCTGAGTGTTCCTGGGAAGAAAGGGTTTGGACTTGTTTGAGTTCATTCAAACTTGCTGTCTAAGGTCAGAGGTGTGAGTTCCAGATGTGTGTTCTAATGCAGTAGTTCTAATGCATGATGAAAGGGGGTTTTGGTCTGTAGTAGTCATGGAGGTGAGGCTAAGTCCTGTTGATGTCCATATGTGGTTTGCTTGAGTGACCGGGCCAATATACAGGCCCGGGTGAGCCAGACACAAATGAATAACTTTTAGTACATCCCAGTCCCAACAAATATTGTCCCTCCTGAATGAAGAGGTCAGTTTCATACAAACTCTACAAGAACTGGGTTCCCACACTCTCAGATAAGTCTGCAAAAACACAGACGCTTGTTTTATCCACAAGAATTAGGATTCGTTTGAGCCAATGTATAATTTAGTGACATTGAATCGGTGCTAAAAAAAAAAAAGGACTAACACCAAAAGCTAAAATACTACCCTTCAAGACAACCTACCCACCCACTTTCAAAATAAATATAGTACAATTCTCTTTCATGGGCTTAAACAGGAATAAAATGGTCAAGGTCAACAGATTGAACAGACCCATTCAATAAACACCACAGAAATCATTTGATCACAGTCAGACACAAACAAACAAAACACATACAATACCATAATCAAAATTAAGAGGATCTTCCCTCCCTGTACACCAAACCATTCACATACTGCTCATACACCATAAAATTGACCCAACCTATATGAGCGATACAGTAAACATAAGAGATACATTTAAGTAGGCTTCTTGTCATAAAAGACACTAGGCAAAGCAACAGTGGCTATTACTCCTACAAAGAGTAAAACCACATTCGATAAAAACATAAAAAGATTCAAAACAATTAAAAGTAAAGCTGCTCAAAAATACCTTGGCTGTATCTTGGCACAACATGTGCGACAGACGCCAACTCCTGCAGGATTGCACTCAAATCAATTGTCACCCATGGAGAAGCACGCAGTCATCCCCTAAACAATCTATAAATGTATTAACTGAATAAACATTTTGCGCAGCAACAAATCTAACGTGCAATCAATTCACAAAACATACCTCAGAGGAAAGTAGGACACAGGTAAATAACAGAGGGAGATCAGAATTCACTGTGGAATATTCACTGCAGTGACCAGCATGGCAATTGCTCATCGCAGCATTTTCTCTGGAGGTGGTATTTATGTCCGTGATTAACACGACAAATTGCTCACATCAAAGGGGTCAAAGTGTTTATTTGTCATATGCACAGTTAGGAAACATTTTTCCCCGTACAATGAAATTCTTACTTTACCATCCACATGAATGACACATAATATAAGTGAAATATAAAGTAGATGAGCAATAACACAAATCTAAATAGGCAGTAAAATCACAAATCTAAGGCACTTTAAAGCAGCAAGTGAAGGGAGCAAATAAAATATAACAAGAACACAATATAATGCAGAGAGACATGGTGATATAGGTGTGGCCAACCCACCAGTTACACTTGCAAAGCAGTGTGATAGCGGAGCCTGGTCTATGCATTGGGGGTAGTTTGTAAGAAGCTGCCTTTAGCTGGTTCTCAATGCCTAGAATCTAAGTCTAATGTATTAATTATTTTGAGTTCCTCGAGTAACACATTGCTTTAAAATGTCTGCTTTCGACTTGTGGACACTACATATACAAACTAGTCCCTTTGCATAAAGAGACTAACTAGTATTTTTTTATTGAAACAATCAAATATCTTGGTGTAATATGAAAGATGTCACTCGTAGTGACAAACCCATGGAAAATTAAAACCAACTCTGCACCTCACCTTAAATACTACTCATCTTTTTGGCCTCCAGCTTGTTGTTTAGTTTTTTCAAGCCACAAACTGGGCTTTCAGGAGCTTTGCAGCAGCATGTATCATTTGTTTTCAGGAGAGCTCTGATAAACCCATTGTATACACAGCCCAGGCCAGTGGAGTTCAAAACAGGGCTAGAAGGAGAGTTAATTTTGGACTTAAGGGCCTGAAACCCAGCTCCAAATGAATCCTAATGTGCTGTTAAATGTAAATGAGCAACTGTGCACTAACAAGTTTACCATAAAAGCTAGGTGATACAGTGTCAGGTTTTTTTTATCAGTGTTCTACAGTCCCCAAGTGGCAGAAGTAGATTACAGCAGCTCTTAACATTGAATGTACTAAAATCTTATTTGATAACTTGTGGACAAGGCCTTTACCTCAGAGATCATAATTATGATACTAATAACTAAATGTTATACCATCAGCTTTTTGTTGTGCTTTCCTAAACATTCACTGCTTTGGCATAATATGTGTCAATATGTATGAATGAATGACACTTTGTTACAGACTCAAGGTCCAAGTTCAAAACAAATAAAAGCAATAAAAGAACAGTTTAAAAATGAAACAATAAACAGAAAATACATAAAAACGAGAGCAAAAGAACACCCATAAATCTACTGCCCCTTTAAAAGACAGGTATACCAGTGTTTCCAGAGAACCGAAGTAAAACGCATGTGTATGTGTCTACTCTTCTCTACTGATCCTCAGAGATGACTTTGACCCTGCATTTCTCCACCCTGGTTTTGAGCCTCCTCACTACGAACTTTGTACTCTGCGCCATGTCCCATCTGTTGATCTGACTGATGCTGCCCTAGCTGAGGACTTTGAGAAGTTCCACACGCTCCGTTGCTCCTCAAGCAAATGCATTCGTGACCACCATTGTGGGTCTCAGCAGGGGAGTGTGCATGGCAATGCCCATGGTAGCTGTAGCAACTTAAGCGTGAGAGATGACACCATTGCTGCTGATGAGGGGGCTCTTGTGCCACCACTGCCACCGGTGATGGTGAACCAGCAGTCGCCACATCTTTCCCACCACAACACACCAACGGGTCGATGGAACATCCTGGTGATGAAGCATAGCTATTCTCAAGATGGGGCAGAGGGGTACAGGGTGGAGGATGAGGATGATTTGATGATGGATGATGGTCCCACCACCAGCCAGCACCACATGCACCACCATCATCAGATCCACTATGGCATGTCAGGGCAGGATCACACTGTTCACCGTACACTGTCTAATGACTTCTAATGTAACATGGAAATAAAGAAAATGGTCAACTAATCAAAACCTAAATGGAACTACATTCAAATGGACAAAAATGAAAAAAGGAGGGATAATAGTGAACTGGTGAAATAGTAGCAGAAATAATCACTTTAAAGGTAAACCCTCATAGTTTGCAGCGTAGAGGCGTTCCGGGTGGACACATTCAGGGTCACTGGGGAGAGCAGAAGTGACAACAATTAAGACCTATTCTCACATACATAGGGATACATCAATGAGAAACACCAACTTGAAAAATCCTGAATTGTTCCTTTAATGTTAATGTGGGCTGAGTTCTTGCAATTCTGCTTGCCGAAGTAGGAGCGTTATATCAGGCCGTTTCCAGGGACAATCAATCATATGGGTTACATACTGTTGGTTGGTGATTTGCTTTGAAGTCCAGTGCTAGATCTGGCTTAATTTGAACAGAACTTCCATATTGTAGCTTTAATTCTTTATTTGCAGAGGTTAAAAATCCTGACCTTTCAGCCTATTTTTAAAATTAGTTTTCAATTTAATTCATTGAAATGAATGCTGACCTTTAAAGCATTTGTTTGTCTGCTTTGGTCTCATATATTTCAAATTTAATTGGATTTTGCAACAAGAGCTGAGCTGACTGGACCTAACGTTATAGTAAATAGTTATGATGAAAATAACTCAGCCAAAGAGCTTATGAGCAGCTGTTACATTTTAAATACCCCACTGCTATGACAATGGAACTCTATGTACAGGAAGAAGCATTATATGCATACATTCTGAGCTAATATCCATCCATTCTAATGCATCACAGTTTTCTTTTTCCTTTTCTGTTCCTTGTTTAGCTTGAGGTTTCAGTGCTATTGTAGACAATATTCATGATGATTCATCATATTTAGGAATATTTTATGAATGAATGATGCATTACTGTATTTCCTATATGTTTTGGACACTATCACTGTTGGCTAAAATGTATACATATATTTAAAACCATTTGAGAACTATTCCTTCTCCTTCTCCTGTGTTGTGTGATCAGAATCAAAGACTGAGGAGAGCATACTGTATAATGGAAACATATTAGTTATGCCAGTGAAATCAGCAAACGGAAAATGTTTCATGTAACCTAATATTTTCTGGACTCAAAAGTTATCAAGCTTAATCTTATGGAATGACTGAGAAAACTTAAACTTATATTTTCTGTTGGTGTGTAAATGGTTACACTGTTGCATTGTATTTATATTGTACAATACAGTGTTACATTGGATTTGTTGCTTATTTACTGATGTTTCTGTGTATCAAATTTTCAATGCTTGGTTTGTCCTTTTTTTCTGTTGATTATATGTCTGTCTGTTTTTATTAATTTCAATAAATATTTACCTTTTCATTTATTGTGCATGGCAGGATGCCATTTAATGTGTGTCTGTGTGTATTTCTTTGTACTTAGTTTTATATTATTGTATTAACTTGTGCTATCTTGTACGGACTATGGAAAGATGTAAGAAAGGAACTTTCATTATCTGCTCTTTGTCGTCCACCCGGACCTATAACAGCGCGGCACAGGTTATCTTTTAGAATTTAGATCAAATCGTAGGACAGGGATATCTTTTTCCATAACTCATTCTTTGGTTTGTGATGGTTTGCTTGTCGCTTAAAGTGGGCACAATGATCTTAGGTTTAATTGAATGACATGATGTTATTCATGAAAACTTCTCCTTAGGAGCTAACCTTTAGGGAGCTAACCTTTAGGGAGCTAACCTTTAGCAGAGTCCAGCTGTCTCTCGTGCAGTTGGAGTTCAGTTAACCTTAGCTACGTATTTAAGCGAACTATTCCGTCAAGGCAACATAATGTCACAAGAAGAGCCTTTTCCTGATTCGACACAGGCGAATCAGTGTGAAAGGAATGTCAGGGACAGCAGGAGCAGGAGCAGAAGCCGGCTCGGTCTGCTTGTCACGGGGGTGGTCGGAGGGTCGCTTGTCGCGCTCTACGCGGTGGCCGTTCCGTTTGTCGCTCCTGCCCTGAGAAAAATCTGCCTCCCGTTTGTACCAGCGACCACAGCTCAGGTGGAAAATGTCCTCAAGGTGCTGCGGGCCAGATCAGGAAAACTGGTGGACATTGGAAGTGGAGATGGAAGGATAGTAAGTGTTGTGTTGTCTTACCTTGTGGTGACAGGCTTAAAAATGATTTTGTCCTAAGGCCAGAACCTGTATTACAGAGGTAAACAGTGATGTAGGTTATCCTTGATATAAAGAAGGAATCCCTTCTAGCTCCAATCCATGTTATTTTCATGTGTCTATAAAATACCACCTAACATAAATTCAAACCTTATGAACAGAAAACCTAAGTGGAGAAAAAAATATTCAGCAGGCTACTGCCCAATCTGACACTGTATTTATGAGATGTGCTGCAGAAACAGCAGGAACAGCCACACTTGCTTTACATCCAATATTTTTTACTCCCTGCAGGTGATAGCAGCAGCCAAGCATGGGTTTCAGGCATCCGGCTTTGAGCTGAACCCCTGGCTGGTGTGGTATTCTCGCTACAAGGCCTGGAGAGAGGGAGTCCACTGCTCCACCTCTTTCCACATCTCAGATTTGTGGAAGGTCAGTGACACCCCAGTAGTGTACAGTACTCCAGTAAATAGTGTAGTATCCTAGGGAGAGTGTCAGTGCATTATTTTTGTCACAGACATCAGGTATTCTCTACATCATTTGAGAAAGTATTTACACCCTTTCACTCTTTGCACACTGTGTTGTAGATTTCATATTAGTTTTTCCAAACCTCTAAAACACTAAACCCCAGTATCAGAACAAAACTGTCAACTGTCAAAACTCATTTATTAAATGAATCACTAGGTCTTCTACCTAAAACTACATCCAGATGATTTCTTCTACATTTTTTCAGCAATTAATCACTATTTTTGCTAAACCTTAAACAATAATCACCTGGTCTGACACAGTTTCCAGATCTGATTCAACCTTTTTGCAAAACTCTAAACACATTCTCACTCACTAAAACACAGTTTGCACTTGTGATGCATAATGGTAACCTCAGGTGGCAGATGGTAAACACAGTTACAACGCAGCTGTCAATATGGCATAAAACTGTTCACACCTGTTGCTAATGATGTGGAACCAACATAACCTCAGAGTGCACAGGTGAGCTGAAGGTTGATGCCAACAATGGATAGAAACAATCTGAGAGCCAGAGGAGGAAGAGTGTGTGTATGAGGAAGAGGAGGAGGAGGAGGTGGAGGAGGTCAGGGAGAATGTTGCCTGAGTCCTCTGGACTGTTCCAGCACAAAGATGTGATGCTGAGGCCCAATGAGTCACTTGTTGACATTAATTTTATAGTTACTGTACATATACAGTGTAATGTACTTTTCATTTACATTTTGTCTTTGTCCTTTTGCAGTACTACATTTTTGTAAATGCTCAATCCACAGACATCTAATACTGTATTGCTTGCAGTACTTACAGTATGCAATACCTAAACTCTTACTAAGTTGTGAGCTTACATATTTATTTATTTATTTGTTTGTTTGAAAACATGAAATGTATTTACTTTATTGTAAACAGTAAACCTTTTTTATGGAACTTCATGCCCTGAACACTGTGGTTTCCATTTTTGATGTAGTGTGTATGCTCAGTAGTATTTTTATGGTGACTGACTTTGTGTATTATCTGAAAACCTGGTTTTATTTTACAAGAAGACTCAGAGGTTTAGTGAATTTAGTTGGCAAAATGGGTTTTGTCTTTACAGTGTTGAGAAAAGGTTTCAAGAAATGTGTCTTAGCAATTGTGGAAAACTGTAAATTGATCAAATTTCACAGCTTTGAGTGTTCTTTTGGCTTTAACTCTATATGTTTTGCACACCTAGATTTGGACAGTTTCTTCCTGGCAGATACTGTAATACTCCAAAGCAACTGTTCACTGCCATTTTGAGGTCTTTCCACAGATGTTCTATTGGGTTTAAAACTGAGTTCTCTCTGGGCAACTCAAGGACAGTCAGAGACTTGTCCTGAAGACAAGACACTCCAGTGTTATCTCAGCTGTGTGTTCTGGGTCCCTGTGTTCTGACCAGTCTCCCTGTCCCTGCCACAGACAAGCACCCCTGTACCATGGTCCTGGTAGGGCCGCACTTTTTCTGTATCACAATTATTGAGGCCACTATGCTCCTGGAAACACTTTAGAAATGGTTTCTATCCCTGTCCTCACCACAGTTTTACCTCAGAGGTCTACAGAAAATCCCTTGGACTGCATGGTTTAGTTTGTGTTCTGACATGCAGTGTGAATTGTGGGACCTTGTATACACAGGTGTTTGCCTCTATACCATGTTCAGTCAATTCAGTTTGGCACAGGTGGACTCCACATCTCAAGGACAATTAAAGCAAACAGGGTGTACAACATTTTGGAGTGCCACGGCAAGGAGTCTGAATACTTTTCTAAATGAGAGATTTCAATTTGTTTAAAAAAGAAAAGAAAATGCGAACATGTTTTTTGCTTTGTCATTGAGAATCAGTGGGTGTAGAATTATGGGAGTTTTATCCAATTTAAATTAAATCTACAGCACAGAGAGCAAAATGTGAAGGGTTCTGAATACTTTCTGAAGCCACTGTAGTGTAAGAAAATGAAAAGCATGTCAGGGTGTCTTTCCACTATTCCTTATATTTCCAATTTTTTTGCTAGGTCAGTTTTGCTCAGTACTGCAATGTTGTCATTTTCGGAGTCCCTCAAATGGTGAGTTTTCCTCGTTGTCCCACAGTTTTATTTAATCATTGCATTTTCTTAGAATGTAATTCATGCCAAGTGTGCAAATTAAGGTCAGTAAAACAGTAAAGTAGCATTACTTATAGCTTCTTTAACTGTAGTTCTACTATAAATCATTCCAATGTATTTGTCGGTGGCCTGGCACTCCAGTTTTCTAGCTGCTTATAAACTGACATTATGAAAACATACAATAGATGCATGTATCAGTCTTCATATTTGATCTTTCCATGTATGTTTTCAGAATGCCAAAATAATATTCATGCTGCTGTCTTCATCTGCAGATGGATCAGCTGGAACTGAAGCTGGAAATGGAATTACCGAGAACAGCCAAGGTGGTGGCCTGCCGCTTCCCCTTCCCTACC